GGGACCTAGAGTTCCGGGGGACATGGGACAGGGGGAGGTGGGGGGAAAGGTAGTGGTGTTAACAAACCCAGGGACAAAGGAACAACAAGTGATCCAAATCGGTGGTGAAGAGGGTGTTTTGAGAATGATGAGGGCAATAAATATACAAATGTGCTTTACACAATTGATGTATGTATGGATTGTGATAAGAGTTGTATGAGCCCCTAATAAAATGGTATTTAAAATAAAATCAGCAAGAGAAGGTAATATTGTCATTTGCCCCAATCTCCAAGGCTTTGCCAAAAGGAGATCAAAGTTGTTGTCTGAGAGATGGTTCAAGGACCAAGGGCCTCTGGTCATTTCAGTCAATGTTTACTGAGCCACTACTCCATACCTGACCCTGAGCTGGGAAAAATAGGAGCAGAGGCTTGGGATTACAAACAAAACAATGTTCAAAAACATTCTCTGGGCCGCTAGGAAGGAATGGGTCAGAGGAAACACGACTGGGAAATCGCTGAGGGCTCTCCAAGCTAGAGGCATCATGGGATCAACAATCTAGAAATCTCACTCTACCAAGTGCGGACAGAGTTTCGCCCTGTAAGCAATTACACAGGGGAGATCAGAAACTCACTAGTCTACTACACATAGAAAAGGGACGACGAGCAAATGCTGCTGTCCGATCCTTCGATTTTGTACACAGAACAGCTGAAGCATGGGGAACAGGAGACTACTCAATCACTTGCAGTGCCGGGCCAAGAGCCACATGTCCCTTGTCTCCTGACCCTGGTCCATCTTGTCCACCCCAGGCCAGCTCTCTCAATGCTACTCAGAGCTGTGCCCTATCCCCTCCATGCCAGATACTAAGCTGTGTTTCCAGCAACATCTAAGATGCTCCCAAGCATGAAGGACAGAGAAAGGCTAAGTAACAGAATCATAAAATTAGTTTTACAGCCTTTACAGATGATGGGCCCAGCTTCTCAATAGCTGCCTGGCTCTTGGTACCCAAAGGAGACACTTTATGCTCCATTTCACCTTCACTGTAAATGTCTAGTGCTACCAGTCACAGGACAGAATTCTTCTTGTATTGGGGTAGTGGGGGAGGGGGAGGAGGGTTAAAAAAGAAAATGTTGGAAATGAGACAGCAGAGCGTGCCTGCTGTGACAGACAGCTGTAGATTTCAGTTTTGTCTTTCTGCAGTTCGCATCACTAGTCAAGTTCCAGAATTAGCCAGGCTCAGTGTCTCTTCCTCCCTCAAAGAGAGAAAGTCAAGAGGCACTCTCTTCTGTTTGATATATTTAAGAATTGCAACAAGGAAGATAGAGTTGCATCAAATACCTTGCCCCAAATGGACAGGTAACCTGAGAAACCAGGGGAGGATACACCAATCCTTGAAGCTACATTTGGGGACAGTGGCTAACAAATGCTATTTAGGGGCTTGCCATGCACCAACGTAAAGTTGACAATTTGTCTCATCTTCCAAATCACTCTTCCCTTGATACCCCATCTCTGGGTGAAGCTGTCAGAACCTAGCTGAAAGAACCCGAGTTTCTCTTTGTTATATTATCGTATGTCTTCAAGCACAATCTTTCTCTAGTTGTGCTTCTGAAAGGCCAGAACTGGGCACAATGCAGGCAGCATGCTGATTTGGCTGGCTGGCAAGCACAGAGAATCTCCTCACTCTGCCATCATTTATTAAGAAGAGGCTGGAGAGAAAGTTGAGACAGCAGAGCGTGCCTGCTGTGACAGGCAGCTGTAGATTTCAGTTTTGTCTTTCTGAAGAGTTAGCATCACTAGCCAAGTTCCAGAACTAGCCAGGCTCTAGGTCTCTTCCTCAAAGAAAGAAAGTCGAGAGGCTTGACCATTTTTAACTTCTGAAGATGATCTTATAAAACAGGGGTCAGCAAACTGTGGGCCATATCCAGTTGCTGTGTGTCTCTGTAAATACAATTTTATTTGTACACAGCCATGGTCAATCATTTACATTTCATCTATGGCTGCTTGCTTTCACTCCATAACAACACAATTGAATAGATGGCACAGAGACCATATGGCCTCAAAAGCCAAAGTTCGCCGACACCTATCATAAAGAATGGCAATAAAAAAATTTTAAACAAACAAAAAAAGCATTTGTTACGGTCCTGAATTACACTTTTTTTTCCCTATTAAAGAATAATCCCAGATGCTTCACTGATGTCTTCCTCTTTTTTGCTCCAAAAGGAAGCTCTTTTTCCAAATGTAAGGCTGTTTTCACACTACGCGGTAGTGAGCCAGGGATGGAATCTTTTCCCTGCACATCCATGTAGCATACGGATAAGAGCTGGGAGTCTGGGAAGATATGAAATATAAAGCCCCAATTCCACAAGTTTAAGAAAGGAATCCAACAGACAATTTTCAAAGGGTCAGTCTTGTGAGAAGTGTCAGCAGGAATACACCACGTGAGATTCTGAGAAAGCTGGTTCCCCACCCCTTACGGGGGTAAGAGCTCCTTTCTTTACTTGCTGAGCAATGAAGTCACACTGGCTCAGGAGGCAGTCAGCAAAGTCAAGGGAACTGTCTGTTTCCATGGTAGAGTGGACTCGAGTTCAAAACAACAGAGTGGTGTAAATAGCCTGTTTCAGAGAGCAAGTAACCTGGACTCTGAGTTTTGAATCCTCATGAGAGTTCAAACTCACACACTTGCTTGAAGGGTGAACTAAAGCTCCTTTTCTAGCAGTGGCTTAACAAGAAAGCTTATCAGCAAGGAAAATTAAGGTGGTAGACACACTACACTGGTGAATGATAGATAGTATTTAAGAGGATCAGATCCCTTTGTCCGGAAAAGTGTCTCACACCATAGAGTCTTTTCTGCAGTCTCTGAAGAACACCTTGAAGGCACCAAAGCTCAAAGTCAACTTTCCAGATGGACCTCTGGGACAAACGAGATTTACACACAAAATGAAGAACGTCATCCTTCCCTGGGATGACGATTACTTACATTTCTGAAGTCCAGTGTTCATCTGCGTGTGAGGAAGAAGCTGAAAGGACAGGTCACCTGGCCCTGGTAGACAGGCTAGCATGGCAGACTGGCATCAACACAACATAGGGCAGTCACTCACACTGTAATTAACAAAACAACAAAAAAAGGTCATGGAACACTGGTTACTCCCTCAAAGATAGCAGGGACATAACCACAGAAGCAGCCAAGGCCCAAGTTTAGAAAGATCAATAATGTAATTAGCAGCAAAGTATCCTAAAAGGTACACCTGTTGTTGATGTAGGTTGATTTTCAATTCATAGGGACCCTAGGTGACAAAGAAGAACTGCCTTCTATGGTTTTCTAGGCTGTAATCTTTATGGGTCCAGGCGCTCTGGTGGTATAGGTTATGCATTAGGCTACTACTAAACACAGGGCCAGCAGTTCAAAACCACAAGCTACTCTTCAGGAAAAAGATGAGGCTTTCTACTCCTATAAAGAATTAAGGCTCGGGAGGGGGAGGGGGAAAAAGGAAAATGAGCCGATTCTGGGAACCCAAGAGGAAAGCGAATTTTGGGAATGAGGGCAACAAATGTATAGGTGTGCTTTACAGAATTGATCTATGTATTGTGATGAATTGCATGAGCCCCAATAAATGGATTTGAATGAATGAATGAATGAATAAATAAATAAATAAATAAATAGAATAACGTGTTCTTGCATTGAGGGGAAAAAAAAAAGAATTAAGGCTCAAAACCCATAAAGGCAGTTCTCCCTATCCCTGTGAGTCAGTTAACTTGATGGCAGATACATAAACCTGGCCTCCAGGTTTGTTTCTCCTGCACAGATACTGAATGGGTTCAAAACTACCAATCCTTAGTTAGCAGCTGAGTTATGTGTATTTTCTGTTTAATTAATTAACTTATTTGCAGCTAAGTTCCTAACTGATACATCACCGGGATTCCTTAAAAGGCACTATGAAGCACTTTAAAAGCATATTTGATTTGTGAGAGTAGGTTCTGGGGACCCACCTTTCCTGTGGACTGTCACACAATTAGACCTCTGGGCTCAGAAAAGAAAAGGGAGGGAGGAACATATGGCTCCCAGAGTAAGAAAAGGAGGTGATAGGCAGGCACAACTCAATCTGGGGGAGTGACCCTGACATTGTGTCAAGATGTCCTGGGTTTTATCACTGCTGTCTACCACGAGACACACATAGTCCAAGTACACAGACATCAATTTGGTCTTCTGTAGGGACATATGCCCAGTCAACACTGCAAAGTCCTTGTGTACCAAGGACCAGGCTGTTCTCAAAGAAGTATAATGGAGTAAAATACATAAACTTCTTTTCCCATACTGCTAACCCCAGAAACCGGGGTAGCATTTTAGAGCTTCAGATCACAACAAAAGAGGAGTACACAAAACCTCTTTATTTCCCTTAGCAGCTCACGCTCAGGTATATGAAACTACCTAGTCATGATGAGCAGCTTGCAAGGCCAGGTAACCGAAAAGATACTTTGTAAAAGAGGCTGCTCAACTGTGTCTAAGATAGCAAGGGCAAAAAGAACTGAAGACTGAATGCCTCAATGGGAATAGTGCTGCCCACGAGTTCTGGCACAGTTCCGTCTTTTTAGGTCTCTGGTGGGTGGAAGAATAGAACGAACAGTATACCAACTGCAGTGCCTTAAATAAAAAGCCCGCTGTTGATGTCAAACAGCGCAGGGATTTCTTTTACAATCCTTTCCCTTGTGAGTGCTGATCTTGATTCAGTAACCTGTCCTCTGGGGTCCTAAGACAACTAAGGACAAACTTCAAGGAGGGGAAGGAGATTGTAAATTGTTGTTGTTAGGTGCCAGACGGTTTTGACTCCCAGCAACCCCCATGTGCAAAAGAGCAAACCCTACCCAGGCCGGGGCCAATGTTACAATCAATGCTATGCCTGAGCTCATGGCTGCAGCCACTGTCGGGGCAGCTCATTGAAGGTCTTCCTCTTTTATGCGACCTTTTCCCAAGTGCAATGTCCTTCTCCAGAGACTGGTCCCCCCATAACACATTCAAAGTATGTGAGATGAAGTCTTGCCATTCTTTCTCCTATGGAGCAGTCACGCTATCTTTCTCCCAAAGCAAATGTGCTCATTCCTCTGACAGTCCACAGTATATTTAATACCCTAATGATTCAAAGGTATTGATGCTTGCTTCGCCTTCTCCTGTGCACAGCTTTCACAGACACAAAAGCGGATGAAGATACCATGGCTTGGGTCACGTGCACCTTAGTCCTCAGCAAGACATCTATGTCCAATGCAATATACATCGCTCGACTGGATGCTGCATTTATGGGATTGTGGACCCAAGTAAAATGAAATCCTTGACAATTTCAATCCGGTCTCTATTTATCATGTTATTTTTTTAAATCACTTTATTGGGGGCTCATACAACTCTTATCACAATCCATACATACATCCATTGTGTCAAGCACATTTGTACATTTGTTGCCCTCATCATTCTCAAAACATTTGCTTTCTTCTTGAGCCCTTTTTAATCAGCTCATTTCCTCCTCCCTCCCCCACTCCCACTGCCTCTACTCATGTTATTTAATGGTCAAGTTGTGTGGGTTTTGTTGTTGTTTTGTTGTAAATGTGAAGGTGCGATCCACACCGAAGGCTATAGTCTTCAATCTTCATCAGTAAGTTCCTCAAGCCCTATTTTGTTTGTTTTTTAAAGCCCTGTTTTTAACAAGCAAAGTTGTATTTACCTGCATATTGCAAGGTTTTGTTTGTTTTCCTTCTTTAAGAGAGTTTATTAAAGTTCTTTACAGAGCAACATCCACATGCCAGATCCAGTTGCCAAGGAAATCCTATCAGGCAGTTGGGTCTGGCTGAGGCATGCTGGAGGCTCTGACTTCCCACCCTTCTGCTGCATTTCATTCTCGAGTTCCACAATGCTCACATGGTTGGGCAGTGGCTTCTTAGGGCCCTTCTTACCACTTGGGCCCCAGGGCAGCGTGATCTTCGTTTTGATGCCCAGCACACCCTGCCTGAGGAGCACTGTGGCACACAGCCATGTCCACATAGTAGTTAACAGCCTTGCTGTGGATCATCAGGCCGCCCATGATCTTCATCCAGTTAGCCCTCTGTCCTCGGAGTTTCCCAGACACCACGACCTCGCTCTCCAGGGTGAACCGCAGCGCGCCATAGCAGGCCCTCCACACAGCAAGCCCTCCGAACAGTGTGGAGCACAGAGACTCTGCTTGAGCAATTACTCATAGGCCGCTTGTGGTCATCCCCTTTTCAGCATAAAGCTCCACACTGCCCTCAGGGAAGCCAAATCTCTTCTGAAAGACAACAGCAACTCTCAATCCTCCCAGCCTTCTCAGCAAGAACATCCTGTGTCCTGGTGGCTAGGAAGACGATTTCTGTCCCCATCTCTGTAACTGGAACTTCAACTCCAGAGTTACCGTCTTCAGCTAGCTCCCCAGTGAGAGATGCATTCAGTTCACCTTTGAAGATGCCATCAGCGGCCAGCTTCCACTTCTTGAAAATTTGCCAAGTTATTAATGCATCTCCCTCCAGTCCGAATGCTGCTTTTTTCAAATAGTCCAGCTTCTTGGATTATTTGCTAGCACAAAGATTGAGTAAGTATAATGAATGGATACAACCCCGATGGGCACTTATCTTGATTTAAAACATGGAGTACGCTGTAGTTCTTCTCCTTGTCTTGTGTGAGTGACTCCTCTTAGTTAATGTTCACGTTCTGCATGAGCACAATTAAATGTTCTGGACCTCCCATTCATTGTAGGTACCCATGATTTGTTATGATCCACAGTCAAAGCCTCTGCATAGTTGGTAAAACACAAGTAAACCTTTTTCTCCCTTCATCCACGTTTCATCTGACATCACCAATGATATCCCTCACTCCACACACTCTTCTGAATCCAGCTTGAATTTTCCATAGTTCTCTGTCGATGTAATGCTGGAACCACTTCTAAAGAACCTTCAGCAAAAAAATAATAAATTACTTTCCTGTGATATTAATGATATTGTTCAATGATTTCTGTGTCACATCAGGTCACTTTCTTTGAAATGACACACTTGGAGCTCCTTCAATCAGTTTCCCTGGCCGTCAAAATTTCTTGGCATAGGCAAGTGAGTGCATGCTCCCAGCCCTGCATCCGTCCATTTGCTGAGCAGCTCAACTGGTATAATTGGTATTCCATCAATTCTTAGCCCTTGTTTTGTGCCAATGTCTTCTGTGCAGCTTGGACTTCTTTATCATCTGTTCTTGATCATTTGATGCCTCCTGCAACAGCTGCCATTGATCAATTCTTTTTGATATAGCAATTTTGGGTATTCCATCTTTTGATGCTTCCTGCATTGTTCATTATCTTGACAACAGAATCCTTCAATTTTGACAATAAAATCCTTCAATATTGCAACTCCCAGCTTGAATTTTTAGCTTGAGATACACTGAATGTGTTTTACCTCTTTGGTTTTCTTGCTCCAGGTCTTTGCACGTCACTGTAATACCCTATGCACTCGAGTATCAGCCGGGCTTATACATGAGTATATATGGTCTCTTGTTGAGCTATACTACCCTTTGACATCTTCTGTTTGGTTCTTCTATTTCATCATTTCTTCCTTTCACTTTAGCTACTCTACATTCAGGAGTAACCTTCAGTCTCTTCTGACATGCATTTTGTTTTGTTTTTCTTTTCTGTCTTTTTAATGACCTTTTTCTTCCTTCATGTATGATGTCCCAGATGTCCACAACTCAGCTGATCTTCAGTCATGTGTTCAGTGAGTCAAAGGATCCTTGAGGTCATGCTTTGGCAATGCCCCTCCACCACCCATTTGGAAAGCAGCATATACAGCACTCTGGAGGTATGGTAACAGCACAGGCCTTTTATTAAAAACAACTTCCAACCACACTCATACTTTGATTCTCATCTGCATTTTCCTTGAAAATAAATTCCAATTAAAAAAAAAGAAATTCCAATATAATTTTGCAGCTATTATCAGAAGTACAATTAGACCCTGTGTTAGTCTAGGTACTTTAGAGAAACAAATCCACAGAAACTCATGTATAAGAGAGAGTTGTATATGAAGGGTAAGTGCACATCAAGAAAACATCCCAACCCAGTGCTGCC